CCTGAAGATGGCTGTGTTGAGCTCCTCTGTGTCTTTGCCTCCAGGCAGCCCTACAGAATGCTGCAGGTCTTTGTGCCATGCTGTATGTAGCCGTGCCAATTGCTATGGTCTCTGACATGACCAAAGGAGGGGCTTACTTTATTTCATGCTATCTTCTCAAGTTGTGTTATGGGGAAAGTGTATTTCTAGTTGAAATACAGGTTTATCATAATGCAGATGTACTGGGCAAGTAAGTGTGTGAAGAATTATAAGAGAAGACAAAATTCAGAGGTTGATTTGCTGTGATTATTTGTTGAAATTTGTTGGTGTTGACCTCCGTGAGCAGACAGGGTTATTTTTCTCATCTGTAACCTGCTTAAAAAAAAAGAAATGATTAAAAAAGAAAAAAGGGAATGTAGGAAGGACTTGAGTAAATGAAAAATTGATCAGAAATTTGCAGTTTGTGTATCCTTGAAAAATATTTTTTTTCCTACTCAGAAGTGGGTTGTTGTCTTTATTTTCTCTGCAATTGCAGTGGGATAGCTGCAGGCTGGCACGTGCAGCTCAGGCACTGTGCTGCAGCACTCCTCATAAACGCAGGGCTCAGCAGTGATAGCATCTCTATGAGCCTCATAAAAGTGCTCGCGAGTGACAGATTAGGTGCAAGTGTGAGAGCTGTGCAGTGGTGACTGCAGAACTTTCTCCCTGGAACGAGCAGATGTTCCTGCCATTGCCTTTGTGCTATCAGCACTGTCCAAATCCTCTTCATAACAACTGATTTTTCTCCTGTCCCTGTTAATATAGGGAACGGTGTAGGCATTGGTGAAAGCCTTTCTGGGACAGAGGTACAGTTCCTCAGGGACTTTGAGAAAGCTCCTGCAAGGTGAGCCTGCTTCTTCCTCTGGCTGCTTATGCCAGTGTCTCCTCCAGTATTTACTCCAACATTTGTAAAAACAGATAGCTCTTCTGGAGAGCAAGGCCCTGCTGAACTGGAGGCAGAGAAAATCTGAATAAACAAACATGTGCCGCAGATTAGTGAGAACATCTGTAGTTTTTATTTTGTTTTGAGAATGCATACCACATAGTTTTTCATTTCTTACGATTTTCTTGTTTCTCTCTTTCTTTCTCTGTTTCCTTCTTGTTTTTAAATATATTGCTAATAAAGATTGGAGGTAGAAAGCACAGCTGGACTCTGCATGACATGCCACTGTTTAATTTCTAGCTCGGAGGATGGGAAGAAGAGTAGTTTTATTGTATCCTAGAAGAGAATAAAGCCACATGCAAATTCCAGCCATGGACATCTGTTTCCTCTTTATGTGAAAGAATTCTCATATTTTGCAGGGAATCCCAGTTTTGAAGGGGCTAATGAGGGTTTTTTTTCTTCTTTTCATTCCTTCCCCTCCACCCTCAACTTTCTTTTCATTGCCCATCCTTCAGCATGCTCTCCCTGCTCTCTGGCTGCTGTGTTTCCTAGCAGACGATGTCAGCTTGCAGTTTAGCATCAGCTATTGAATGGGAGAATTCTAAATTCTATAAAATGTTGTGGTTTAGTTACAAAAAGTATTACCACTACCAGTTGTCTGTATTGATGCATTTCTATGGTACTATCTTTAAGTTCCCTCTTAAATTTCTCGTATTTTATTAAGCAGTATTTAGTGGGATTTCTTTTGCTCTATGATATCTTGAGTGCTTGCAGGCAGGTTGATATTTTTTTTAGAAGTGGAGATCTGTGTATCTGTTGCTCTGGCTGTGACATGTAAATCTTTCTAGAAGTAACTTACTGAAAAATAATCTTAGAAAACCATTTGTATCAGAGGAATTAAGTGAATCTATAAAAATAAGAATCTGCAACATTAATTACATTAAGTTAGCTATTGAGTGCTAGGGAACACCAGGACCGGGGTAACTGACAATTTCAATAACCTATAAAACACTTCAGAAGAATGATTTACAGCTGTTTGGGAGCTTGAAGCATTTTTATTTTTTCTGGTGTAAGATTTGACTCTGCTGAACAAACAGAGAGGTTATATAACATTAGGCCAGACATGAGAACTGGTACTCTCTTGTCTATTTTATATTAACGTCGAATCAGATGTTGGTGGAACTCGCCAGGGTTTCATATTTGTTGGCAGAAAGCTACCCACATGTGTGGACCACATTTTTATTGTTGCCTTAGCCTATTTCAAGCATAAATATCGCTGCCTGGCAGGGTGTGATTCTGTTCATTGCTGAAGAGCTTTTCTTTTAAAAAGCAGAATGTGAAAAGGAATCAAATGACAAATGCTGTAGATGTTCAAATTAAGAAGCGTCTCAAAATGAGATTTTATCACGTCCGTCATGGTAGAGGAGTAGCTGAAAGGCATCCAAAGGCTTTTTCATAGTTGGGTTAGTTACCCTTGTGGAGCTGTTTCTTTTTGCATACATTAATGCTGCTTCTGGGTGTGGGCTGTTTAGTCTGGGCTTCTAAGGGAAACGAGCCTTATGCAAACAGGGTGTATGCTCACCCAAACACCCAGCGCTGCACGGCCCGTGGCTGCTTCCTGCCCAGTAGGATGCATTGGCCACAGAAACGTGGCCAAGAGGCACGTGAATTTCAGTTCCTTTGGGTTTCTTGAAGTTAGGCGTGTGAGGGCAGAACAGAGGTGATGGTGGAGTTTGGGAGAAGGCTTGCAATGTGATCTGTTCAGTGATGTGCTGGAATAGATGTTGAGAGAGAAACGATGGAGGTCTCAGCCCCAGGAAGTTCACTGAACCCAGCTTGTGAACTATTTGGCTTCAGAGAATCTGATGACAAAAACAATGCTGCAGGAAGCCAGGCTCCCTTTAGTTCCATTTCCCCATGAAATTGCTTGTGTGGGTTTTGTTGTTGAGATGCTGTCAAACAAGCTGGAATAGAGACTTTGACCCCCAAGAAATGCAGAATGTCTCTTGCTAGGATCTTGATGTTTCTTGGTGTTTCTTTGGTTGCTTATTTTTGCAAGTTTTCAAATTCTGCTGAAGTGTGATTTGTGATGTTTAGGTGCTTATCTTTCAGGCAGCTTAGGATGGAGCCCTGTGGCTGTCTGGATCCCACTGACCTGCCTCTGAAACCTACCCAGGCGTTCTGGAAGCCTGAATGTCACAGCCACTTATGGGGAAGGGGGGAACTGGCAATTCTTGTCCAGGTCTGACTCCCCCTGACCGGGACATGGAAGGCAAGAGCCATTAACACCGAAAATCAAACAGCAGTCGTGAAGAACTTCCCTTTTGGTTGGAATGCTTCTGGCTAATGATGGAGATAAAAGAGGGCTTTCTGTCAAAAGCTTCCCTTGTCTTATTAATAGCTGCGTAATTTTACCACTCATTCAAAGCAAAACTTTGAGACAGCATTTGAAAGCTTGTTTTGTTTGGAGTGCAGCTGGATATAGAGCGTTTCCTTTTCTCTTCTTTAGCAAATTTGAAGCAAATGTAGTGGGTATTGTTTCTCTTTTTTCTATTGTTTGGCCTATGTAACAGAGTATTCTCTTGCTTTTCATTTTACATTGCAAAGAAATCGTGCCATTTAACTCAAATTCAACAATGATGTAGCAGCATGTGGATATACATATATCTTCTCATAAATATATTACCACACATTACTGTCAAATAGCTGGACTTTTTCACCCAGTACTAAAAATGAAATTTAATTGCTCTAGTTGAGTTTCAAGGCTCTGATAAATAAGAACCGTGCCTGACCTTTCTTGTGGGGCTTTGGGATGCCACCAGGGATACTGCTCATTGTTCAAGATGACAAACTTCCTCTGAGATTTCAGTTTGTCAGCTCAATGTACAGCAATGACATTGATTTCTTCTCACTGCCATTTCCTGCCTGAATAGATAACAAATTTCTGTGGCAGGTGTCTCTCAAGCTTAGTTTTGCCTGGCAGATTAACTTAATAGACTCATTTATTAATCATTAGTTGCAACACGGGGAAGGAGACAGTACTCTTCAACTCTTGTGATGTTGAATAGATGTACTGTTTCGGATTCCTTTGTGTAGCCTGAATTCAGATTTAATAAGCTGCTCGTATCTTTCAGTGAATGCTTTTAACCTCATATTGCTGATGTTAAAAATACCATCAGTTATGTATTAACTGAGTCTGATCCATTTTGACTGTCTGCTACTTTTCGTGGCAAAAGGTGCTTAAATGCCTTCTGAGACAAGCAAAATGGTGCAGAAAAAAAAAAAGGAGGAAGCTAATTCAACATGCATCATTTCTGGGGAAGGGGGAGATGTGGAGGCACCTCCCAGAGGCTGCAGAGCTGAGGGAGCAGTATGTTTATTTTTTACCTCTGTGTTGAGTTAGTCCCAAAGCGTTTATTGGGGCAAGAGCTGTAAATGCACAGGCACTGCAGAAGGAATGAGGTAGAGATGCAAGCTGTTGGGCAGAAGAGCCTTTTATTACAGCTGATGAGAAGTGAAACAGGGAGCTTTCCTCTTGGGTCTTGGTTGGGTTTGGTAGCTCTTCATTACCTGCTTGGAATTCTCAAGAGAGCTTGTTAATGTGAGCTCAGTGAGAGATGCTCCAAAAAGTTTCTCTCTGCAGCTGGTGCCCGACCTGCCAAGCTCTGGGCAGCTGGGCAGAGCATTACTGTGTGCAGCGCCGTGTGAGTGCACATTACTGAAGGTGTCTTTCTGACAGGCTGTGTTCCTGGCCTTGGCAGCACGTTGCTTGAGGCATCCTTATGGCTTTCTTGGCGGAGCATCAAACCGAGAACGTCCCTGCACTAGATCACACTGCTCGCTGCTCTTCTAGGCCACCCTGGTTACAATGCATTAACCTCTCAGCAGGGAACGTGATAAACAAAGTGGAGCTGCTTTAGTGAAACTGGTCGCTTAATGGCAGAGTGCATAAAGTATCCTGAAAGATTTGTAAATGTAATAAGCTGCAGTTCACCAAGTGAACAATAACTGTTACTAATTTGGCTGACTGAGGAACATGCCAACCTAATTTGCTTTTGTAACATTATGTTGTTGTTTTTCTCTATTCCCGCCTCACCAGATTCCCTTCTCTCTGGTACAGTTTCCCCTCTGGGAGTTCTTAAAGGTAAGTCCTCTTTAGTTATAGAAATGTAAGTTATACAGCTCACAAAGGCTTTCTGTGGTAGCATGTCTAACTTGATTATCACAATTATGGGCACATCCAAGGATCAATAAGTGGGTACTGACCTACCTGTGCATGTGAAGATCATTTGCTTAGATATTTGAAAAGCAACAGGGAGCATCTCACCATGGATATGTGGCATGCAGTCTAAATTCTAGTCCCCAGCATTCCAGAAATCTTATCTGCTGCTTTGACTGTTTTTATCGATTGAAATAGAGTGGGAACCATCTGTGTTGTGTGATTTATTTTATTCTGGTTTATTTTTTATTTTATTTTAACTTTTTTAGCATTTTGCTCTTTGAGGTAACAGGAAATTGCAAATGATACGGAGAAGGCTGATTGAGCCTGTTCTTGTGAACAGGGAGAGACTCAGTACTTCGCTGACGTGCTGTTTTGATTGGCTGTGTGTACGTTATTTCAGAGGTCGTTTAAAGAAGGTATCGGTTGGATGATAGTTTAATAGTGCAGTCTTTCAGAATGATGCACTCACTGTTCTCCCCCCAGCTGGTTGCTTTGTTTATCATGGACAGAGTCATGGTCTATTTTTCTGAGCACAGAGCTGAATTTGAAGTGTAGTTTCTCCACCCCTCTGTTTTTGCTTTAAATGGTAATGATGGTATGGTCCTCACTGCAGGAGGATGAAGCAGAGATGGGGTTTTTTAGGTGCTTTGAGATCCTGGATTGGAAGCATAGAAAATTATTGCAGATTGTGTAAATCAGTGTAGCAAAATATATCATTTATAGGAGGGGAACTGCAAAGAGAGTGATGTTCTTCTTGTTAAGGGTACTGAACTTCTGAGAGAGCTTGGCACTGAGACCCAAACTGGGAAGAAGTTCTGGGAAGGATGGAAGCCGGTGATGATGTTCCCTGCCCCTTGGTGCTTCTATTTAGGAAGGAGGGCTTGTGTTCTCAGTGTGTGTGTGCTTATTTGGGAGCTCCTGCTTCGTGTCAATAGCTTGGGTCATTCCTGGGACAGAGTCCACAGTGGGAACGTTTGCATATAGAAGTTTCAGGGAAGCAGATGTGGTGAGGACTCTACGGATAGGAGGAGCACAAAAGACATCAAGACCTTTCCTGCAGCTGGCTCTGCAGGTGCTTGGTGAGCTCTGGGCATTGCTCCCTGATGCAGGGCAGCTCTGGCTGCCTTATTAGGAATCTGTTTCTCAGCTAGTGTCTCAAAATCACTTTCTGTAAGCTCCTTGCAGTGCTGCTGGCACGAGCTGCTAATGGTTAGTGAAGTTGGGAGCAAGAGGCTGCAGTGCTTAGAGAGAAAAAGTGCAGTGTTCTCTCCCAAACCACATAAAACAGCGACATCATGCATTTGTTTTCAGAATGCAGAGTTGTTTTAATAAATGTCCACATAGCTGTAGCAGTAAAATGTGTTGTTTAAATGTCTGTTTTGAAGGAGACAGTTTGAAAACAGCTAGCTACCAAAGTGAGTCACTTAAATGGGAGACATCATGTTTAATCTAAAGAGGTCAGTGCAGGCCTGAAGAGAAACAAAGCTGGGTTAGTTTGTTGTGCTGCAATATATTTGCTATATATTCTTCTACCCACAGAACCAGGAGCAGAAATCTGCAAAAATCAATCTTGCATGCTTCAGTCATTTTGGCTTTAGCACATGGAGAGAGCACAAGGTTTGTCACATAAAAGCCAGCAGCAGTGAGGGCAGAATATATTTTGTTTATCTGAATTAAGCTCTTACCGTGACAGTAAAACAAAGGAGAAAAATCATTATGGCCTCATTAGCTGGTGGGATCAGCTTGTAGCATCAATAGCAGTGTGATTCAGTGCAGGGCTTCTTGTGGGTGCTTTGAAAGGAGCGTGAAGAAGCAGTAATTAAGAAGCATGAGGAGCAAGGAGGAGGAATAGGAGCATGAAGAACGAGAGACAAATGGTGCGAAATCTAAATATACAAGAGCTAACTGAAGACAGTGTTTGTGGGACTGCGTCAGTGGAGTTACTTTGGAAATTAAGTGGAGTAAGGGGTAGTTGGGTGTGATGTCTGTGGATCGTTACAGAGCAGCACGGAACAAGTGCTGCAGATGAATGATTTTAAAAGCCATTAGAACAAAGTTGCACAAGCTGATGGATAATAAGCTCAATCTTACAATTCCCCAAACAAGCTGATTAGCATAAAAATAATGAAAAGTAGCTTTCCACTATAAAGAAAAGTTAGTGAGCACATGGAAGAACATCGTCTTTCTTTTCCTTCCAGAGTAAAGTGCTCTGCATCTAGCAGCACAGTATTAAGCTTAAAGAAGCCTAATAAGGCCTGGTGGTAGGCAGCAATGAAGTGGCTGTATCCCATTTTCTGTATCTGCTTTGCTTTAAGCTGCAGTGATTATTCTTTATACTTCCAGTTGGCTTTAGCCACATAATATACATGCAGTTTTCTTTTGTCTGTGAATGTGGACCAGCTGTCCTCTGTGAGAGTTAGCTTTCATGCCATGCACTGGTTTAAAGTTAGAAAAAAAAGAGATCCCTGTATGGATCACAAAACAGGTTGGTTACACTGTTGGTGCTGACAAGGCAGTATTGCAGAAATTAGCAAGGAATAGATGTTGCTTCAAACACAAGTTTGCTTCCAGTAATACAGGTGAACACAATTTAGAAACAATAGACAATTAATGTTAATGCTTGATTTGCTCAGATGTCTCTAGCACTGTGGAGTTCATGCTTTCTGTATTGCTTTCTAATCTACTCTGTGAGGTGTTTTATTCAGTACTTCTAACCATCATGTCTGAGCACCTACCAACAACGCATTGAAGATTTATCACTTGTTCCGTATTGCACTTAAATACATATTTTCTCTTCACTGGGACCTAACTGAGAAAAATGACAGCTATAGTTTCTGTTGTGGGGCTACTGCAGATATATGGAGCATCAGGTTTGTTTGTTTGTTTTTGTGCTTTCCAACAAAATAGGGTTTAAAAACAAAGCAGCAGAATAGAGCACTGCTGGCTAGTTTTCAGCCCAGCAACATCTTGTCAAAAAAGCCTGCTATTTATGGCTGAGTGGAAATGATCAGCTCCCTAGGAGAACAGTGCTGTGTGTAAGATAAACCCTTCTCAGGTGGAATGAGACTCAGCCCTCTTGGGTTTTATGTTTCTGCATCTTGGCTGCACTTCAGAGCCACTAAGAAATTGCTCCAATGCAGCTGTAAATGAAGAATGCTTTCTTTATAGACCTAATGTATTGTCTGAAGAGAAGGGTCTGGTGGTCAGTGAAGAGGGAAGGAACAGACAGGAACAGAAATACATAGGTCTCAAATGAATAGACTGGGAAAATAAGTTTCTATTTGTTCGTTTGGTTTTTGTTTTAATGAGAGAAAACAGACCTAGTATCCTGGGAATCTTTTGTTTTTCATCAGGCACATCCAGAGATGAGATATTTGCGTGTTGCTAAGACTTCATAACATCAAGGTCAGGCTGATTTCACACTGTCATCTGCATGTGCCAGAGAACCCTGGCAGACAGGCAGCCTCCCAGGAGAGCTGTCACAGCCTGTGCTGCTCCGCTGCCCTGGGACCTGTGGGGCACATGCACTGACTGTGCTGAATGTGGCCAGGATTTCCCTTTTAGTCTCTGTGCTGCTTGGTACCCAAAGCCCTGAGACTTTCTGCAGCTGTGGTGAACTCGTGTTTTTTGACTTTTGCCTTAAGATAGTTTTCTCAAATCCGTAATCTCACACATCGGCAGGTGTTGTACAGAACCATGTTGCACCTTGAGAGGCAGCAGGGAGAGAGAGGAAGCTGCAGTGCATGGGCAAATCTCTTCTGTGGGGTTTTGTAATGGCCATGCTAGTATGTGATAGCAAACTAAGTTCCTGAAGATGCAGAGGAGTGCTTGGATGGCCTCAGGCAAAGAGAACTGTTTGCGAAGTACACACAGGCATATTTACCCCCCGTGAAATAAATGGGGCCTGACAATGAAGAGAATGGGGAGAGTCCATCCATTCCTATGAATCTGAGTGGTAGCAGAAGGGTGGTTGGGTCAGAACAGTTTTTGTGTTGTTCCTAAGCTGCTTTTTGCCCCTGTGATGGACAAGGTCCCTTGTTTTCTATCCAGGGTCAGCTCTCTCCAGGCACAAGGCACCTGTGTTGGGAATGAGCAAAGCTTGGGAATTCTGCTGACGGACTGGATTATTGATCTGAGTGAAGGCAGTGGTACATGTGCTCACTGCTTCATCCCGTTGGTTCCCTGCTCCAGAGAGCTCAAATCCTGGGGACTGGTTCTCAGTGAACAGATCAGGTTGTGAGAGAGGGCTCAGTCCTGCTCATAGCTGTCAGTGCAGGCAGACCTCAGAGCAAGCTGTGCAGGGACTGCTCACTGGTTTCTGTGAGGCAAGGACCAACTGGAGCTTCATTGCACCTGATTTTTAAAGTTGATAGGAAAGAGAAATGTACAGAATGCTTCTACCCTGGCAGCTGGTAGAATGCTTCTACCTCAGCAATAAGACATGTTTATAACTCGACCATTGAAACAATAAACTGCATGCTATTTCCCTCCTAAAATTTATAATGAAATCTGGTGCTGTTTAACAGAATCAGTAGAAAACAGAGGAATGTAGCCAAACCGGGCCCAAAATGGTTTTCCCTGCTCTGCAGGTAGGTGACAGCTTTCCATTTTCTCCTGGAGGAGTAGTTGAGAGTTTCTTTTCTGCTGCATTCAGCTGCATGTAGGTCAAGAGTAAATGAAACCAGGCCCAGCTTTAAACCTATTTCCTTGCAGGCAGTGTAGTAAGTGTTCTACCATGCCTCTCTTGCTCTTTGAGTAACGATCGGGCTGATTTAGGGATTAAGTCCTAATCGTTAAATACCACTAACGTGTCTGCCATTTGCTTAGGTGCTGTATCAGGAAAACAGATGCTCCACGGCAGCATTTCAAGGCGTGATGTAATTTGCAGCCAGCGCTGCGTGTGCATGCCATAAGCATAACGG